ATGCACATAAAACATAAAGTAAGTTCATATTCAATACTTCAGGAATAAACAGCGGCGCGCACCGTTTCAGGTAGCAAGCCGCCTTCGTCGGTCGACCGCAAGCGGCTGGTGTCCTTCATACAGGAATGAGTTTACATTTAGAGGGTGACTCTGTGGACGAGCTTGTCCTCCGTCTCGGGTTGCCGAACGATGTTTTTAACACTAGTTTTACGGGCACTTATCGTGTAGGTATCTCCACGGCACGCATCTACGAACCCGCAGATTTTCTTTAAAAAACAACTTATTTTATATAATACACAATTTATGATCTCTGAAATTACTGCATAGCTATAGAGATAGGTATAACACATAGAGAATTTCGAGGTTAGAAAGCATTCGAAATGCGTCAAAATGACGCGTCCCGTAAACCTAGTGTTAAACGAGTACATGCGTTAATTGCTTATCGTTCGAAGCTTCGCTCGATAGGATAATATCTTTATTCCTGAAATATTGAATATGGACTTACTGTATTTTTTATATGCATTGCATATTTTATTACCACTTCGATCTTACTCCAAGTGTTTGAGGTTCTTGTTTCCGTAAAAAAATAACATGCAATTAACATGGATCATATAAAACGTATAATGATATTAGAATGAAACTAAGGTGAAATTTGCCGCACCTGCATTACGATGCATGAAGAAACTACATAAAATAAAATAGATAAAATTGTTAAACACATACATTCGGTGTAATATGAACCATGTCTAACATGGAGTTGGAATTCGAGGTTGAAAGTTCTTTTTACAAGTTAATGTCAAGAGGGACAGCCGAAAACACAATGGGCAAGGTGTTCGTCGATGGCAGCAACACGTTGCAGGCAATTCGCGGGTGGTCGCACTGTAAAAGACAAGAGACAGTTTTATTATATCCAGACTCGTACACCCTCGGCATCATGGCCAAGTGGCCCCGAATGGTGTATGAGAAAAAAATACAGTTGTTGCTCTAAGAATATACGAAAAGAAACGCGACCTCCAAGACACTTTCCCATGCAGTTTTTCCTTCCCAAAAAGTATTGACTATGAAAGAGTGGGGATCTACCTATTACACCACACGGACCCTAACGAGGGAGGATCAGTTCAACAATATCAGTTGTCCTGTCCGAACGGTGCTCTTTGCATTTTACGAGCAAATAGAGTTCATGTTCGGAAAACTAAGTTTTAGTTTATTTAGCGATTACGTAGTGATATGTCGTTATAAATAGTGGAAATTAATTATTGTGAGTTTTATTAATTATTGTAGGTTTTATTAAGTATTGTAGATTTTATTAACTATTGTAGAATTTATTAATTATTGCGAGTTTTATTAAATATTGTAGATTTTATTCACTATTGCAGGTTTTATTAAATATTGTAGGTTTTATTAATTACAGCCTGCTAAAAATTAGTATAAACAGTTGATATAAATTAATTAGTATAGGTTAAAATTAGTGTTAAATAGTTTTAAATTAATTATTTTGAATGTTAGTTTTGTGTAACCTATAGAGTGTTAAACCCAACGGAGGAACAGCTCGCGGATCTACAATCGCGCAGTGTGTATGGACATTTTTTGCGGACGCGACAATCGCTCAGTGTGTGTGGACACTTTTCGCGGACTTCTTTGGTGTACGTGCATGTGCAGATTAATTCCATAGATACTCGTGGACAGGACAATTGTGATACGTGACAACTAGAGGGGACATTAACCCTCTCTACTCGATAATATTCGTAAGAAGATTTTTACATTTCTTGCGAATTTTATCGAATAATCAGAGTTAATGCGATACAGGTGGATTCGACTCAAATACCACAGGCACAAGTTATCGACATGTTCTACCGGGTAAGTAAACACCTGTTCTACCGACTTTTCCTGCACGTCTTGAGTCTTGAAAGTGACTGTACGCCCCTGATGAGCCGTGATCCGCTGACATTCCGTGCGCGCGGATTGCCATGATTTGGGTCAATAGTTAAACGCTTATAACTAACAAACGAAGCATTTCTCGCAATTTCGTTATTCTTGATTTTCGTCTTATTTTGCCTCAAAGAATCACCCCTTAAATTTTTTCCCACTAGTTGTCGAACACCCTGTATACGATGCCGAATGGTCTTTTGCTTTTCTTCATATGAAAAGAAAAAAACACAATTGAAATAGTAATTTTAATAACATAAGATAAAATATTAAGATTGCTATGAACTTATCTTTTTTTTGTTGAATTATTCTGTAATTTCGCTTCCTCACTTTTGAGTAGAGGGAGTCAGTCAGAAACAAACTAATAACAAAGAATGGATGGGACACCAAGTGGGATTTAAACCGACCAAGTCAGATGACGTCACGGAGCCTCGGCGTGAGGCGATGGTATCGTTAGGATTACAATGTAATACACAAAACGAATCACCCATGAATAAAAATTGAAATTTTTACTCCTTTCAATGTAATTTCTTAAAAATATTATGAATAAATGTAGGAGATTCTCCTGATGAAAAAAAGTCCAAACCCGACATAAATCAGACTATATTTAATAACATACAATTCGTATCGCGACATTAAGGGAAAGGTGGGATAATTGGTCACAATTTTGCTTTTTCGTTGAAATAAAAATAATTATTTATTTTATTTATATCTCATCATTTGCAAAGATTGTTAGTATTGTGGCAGTATTCTAACTTGCAAGCATTCGATAATGAAAAACTACTTTTAAGTATTGAACTTGGTTCCAGTCGTGGATTGTTTTACTATGCTGATATAGTATTGGATGTTCCATTTATTCCTTGAAACAAAATTTACTTTGCTGCTGATGATAGCTTGTGAAATGTGATTACAAGCATCTTAGATTTGATTGTATACGTAATTATTTATTTATGTAATTGTGTAATTGCAATTTTGTATTTTAACCACAGTTAAATAAAATATTTGGAATTATTCATTAATACTGTTTTGAATAATGTTCAATCTGTATACATAAAAGAAGAAGGGGATGCAGCAAAACAATTTTTATTCATATGTTATGTCGCGATACAAATTCTATCTTCTTAAAGAGACTCTGATTTATGCCATGTTTGAACTTATTTTCATCAGGAGAATCTCTTACATATATTTATAACATTTTAAAGAAAGTACACAGTAAAAGATCATACGCGTCGCCGAATACGTTATTGTTCCATTATGTCAAAAGAGTCTTTTGAAAAGAGGTACTTTAGGAATTTCAGAGGTTTTGAAACGGATCATTATTCGCAGTATACTGCTTTTTCGAGCGCCTAAAGCACTTCTTTCAAAGCCTCTGAAATTCCTAATTATCTCTTTTGACATAATGAAACAATAACGTATTCGGCAACGCGTATGATTGCCCTTGCCGTTGAAACAGCTTTTAGAAATTCATTACTATCGAAATTTCCAAACTATTGCAGTTAAATCTAATAGATTTTTGTACGAATGTTCGGAGTAGTAATGAGTAGGGTTTTAAGGATAACATATAATTGTAAACATAATTTGAAATGGATGGATATTAATTTCACCTTTTCTATTATTAACATGTCCCAAAGTTTATTAATATTATATTGACACGTTTACAATACCCAAATCCACATTAACTGTATATAATACTAAATATGAAAAATACTCTCGCACACGCGGCTCTCTCATCGCATACACTTGAAACCTACTCTCTCGCGCATACCAACCCGCGCAGCATCGTACAGGAAAAGGAACGAGGAATATACGAACGCTTGTACTAGCGTGCTGGGAGGAGCAAATCTCACTTCATAATTTATGTGTATACAACATAATATGTATGTATATAATAAAAAATGTAGATATTGAAGTGGAAAACATTTATTTTCTTCTTTTTAAATGCTTCCCGAATTAATATTTTTTAACTTTTTGATTTTACTTAGAGGTTACAAAGTGAAATTATAAAATAATTGAAAATAAAAAGTAAAACCGCCGCATTGGGATATGAACAGGGTCTCTTGACTGTTGCTGACGCGCTTAGGTTGCGGGGCATCGCGTCGAGAACATGAATTTTCGCCGTAGTGATATTCGACCAGGATACTCTTGCCAGAGAGTCCACCGACTCTCCCCACTACGTGGCCAGATCCTTTATTCCAAATCTTTTATCGCACGCGCTTCGTTAGCGACCGGCAACAGGGCGTCGGGCCCTTTGCCGTCACGCAATATCCGGACGTCGAAGCCGCGAGGAATGAACAAAGTATCGCCACTCGAGCCGCCACAGAACCTAAACACCCGATGTTATGTTTAAGGTTCCGGCTATTGGCGATACAATCTCCTCTCAAGAAGCCGACGCCACGTGCATCTCCCTTCATAAAGGAATCGACGCTAACATACATTACTATTTTAAATAAGAAATTTACGTATTCCTTATCATCTCATTACAAATAATTATTATTTTTGATTCTGTTTAAAAAAAGAACTGTGTATTCGTCTTTTCACATTACACATGATTTTCCTCCATTTATGCCTTATTCATTAATCACTTTAAATGATAAATCAAACATGATAAAAAGTTCGATTTTATTTTTTACGTCATTTTCATTTGCTATCATATGCTTTTTTATTAACAGCAGATTTGCTTGTTCGTAGTATCGTACCAGAAGTGCAGCCCATAGTCAACACTAACGCGGAAGTACGGTCGACAGACTCGCGCTCTGATTGGTCGGGGCTTTTCGTTAATATTTCATTAACAAAACCTTGGATAACATTTTTGCTAAGGAAAAACTTATTTCAAATCGCGTCACGAGTGACCCATTTCAGGAACATGCAACATTTGGTACAGCCTGTATATGTCCAATGTATGTCTACATAAGTAGTACACATGTTTTTATGTATGTACTTCGTGTTATGATGAGTAATTCGGATATTAAATATTAGTTTTTAACTTATTTCTAAAGCAAAGAACCGTATCTATTATTTATATCGGTGTAACTGCCTAAGAAATGTTATGTATCTGTATTCGTTAGCTGCTGTTGTAGGACAAAAAATAACGGTATCTGGGATAGTTATAAACATTTTGTAGTTCAACAAAGTACTAAATAAATAAAAATCGTTGTTTTCTCAAAAATTTCTATTAAAAAACAAGAAATGGGAGATAATCTTCGCCGACAGGTATGTATTATATTGCTAAATACCGTTATATAGGGTGTTCTGACAGAAAATTGTAGAACTCCTTCAGCTTTTTTAATAGGTTAAGTATTCCAAATTAAAAAAATATTAGTGTCCGACAAAAATATCGATACCGTATAGGTTATAGGGTACAAATACTAATAACAGAGCAGAAACTAAAATTATAAAGTATATTTATGAATAAAACTTTAATTTACATATTTTAATTTATTACAGAATAAGAATTGCAAGCAAAACTATTAACACAGAGTATAAAATCATAATTATTTTTAGGGATTCTTAGTTGTTATTTTAAAGTAATAGTAGTGATATTTGCGGGAGCTATTTTTTATGTGATTTGCTTACTGTAAAAATAAATTTGAAAAGTAAATAGAGAAATAAGATTGTCTAAAAAAGCAAAAGAAATTGTATTAAAGAAAAGACAGTTGACAAGAAATTTGATGTGATTGCATAGATTGCATAGTTGTATTGTATTATACAAAATGCTATAAGGAGTTTGAAAATTTTATACATTTATAACATATGCAATTACTTTAAATTCAATGTAGTGTATAATTTAATAATGTTCTATAAGATATTATATAAACCTCATGAAAACTTTAATAAGGTTAACAAATGGCCTATTGTTTCTTTATAGTTCCTGTAAATTAGTGTATAAAAATGAATATTTACATAAAAATTTCCAAGTCGATTATAAATTATTTTTATTTTAACTACAAATACATATATATATATAATATAAAATGTACATAATTTCATTAAATCTAGTTACAACTTCTTACTTTACAGAATTTTCAATAATTATATGTAGTAAAAATTCATAAAATCGTATCTACCTCTGTAAAGCACATAGGGTGGATGTACCAGTAAATAAACACATAGCAGTGAATGCACATTACAGGAAATGAACAATGAGTGTTTGAAGGCTCCTTGGCACAGAACATTTCATATTTCATAAACACCATATGTGGCTGCAACAAATATCATTGAAAACCTCATGAAAAAGTCAGTGTTACATCTGGGGACCTTTCCTTGTCAGTGCTGAGGAGCCTTCAAATACTCGTAGATGATTTATCGTATGTATAAACATGAGTAGATTAAGTTATTAAAATAAGCAAATGATTGAATATTGCCTTTTTTGAATTCCATGTTTCTTATTCAAACAATTCTCGTGCCATGTGTTAGAGATGTTCATTTATTTAGTACTGTTCATGCATTGGTGAAATCTGTATTTTGTCTTCTTAATTTAATTAATTACATTTTTTCAATTTTTCAAATTGAAATTTTGGTACGTTATAAAAAAGTATAAATATTAAAAAATCTAATGTTCAGGTACCAATATTGATTAATATAATTATCATTTAAAATTCGACTTTAATAGTTACAACATTTTTTAAGTGTTCATTCATTGGTGCATTTCCTCTATAAAATATTTTTAATAGTAAAGGAATGAAATAGAAATGTTGGAACTTTATACTTAATCATGTCTTCTCTTTAATGTTGTAGCAATAGGTACATTTAGGAAAAATTTAATTTTTTAAGTAGAAATATTTTCTTAGGTATTAAATACATTTAAAAAATTGCATCGGACTCGAATGAATACTTTTAAAGGCGATGAACATGCATTAACAGGTAAATTATAGATGGCAACCAATGGAATATAATGTAAACTATTAATATCTTAATGAATGTCATTTAGTTGTAAGGAACAAGATAAACGAAGAGTATAAAAAATATAAGCAGGTTACGAACTCAACTACTATTGAAGAGGTAAAATTCATTAAATAATTATGTTTTAGTAATGTCTCATTAACTCTTGGATAATTGGTAGTTTTGATAAATACTAGTGGAGTCTCATAGAGACCATGGGTGCCTTGTAGGGTTAAAACACAATGTATGTAAAGTTTTGTTTCAAATAAAATATACAAACAAATATTTCAAATAGAAATCAAATCATTTCAAACTAACATTAGAATAATAAGTATGTTTAATGTTTAAGCTATTGAAGAAATATTCTTGTCAAACTGTTACATACAATTTGTATTTTTTTCCTTGTACTTTCTTGAGTATTATTATTTTGTTGGTAATAAATATGTATGTTGTTTAAGGGATTCAGTAAACAAATCTAGTGTACTATTAATAGGACCAACACATTTTTTGGCACTCTACAAAATTTAGTCCAATACATTGAAACACTATTTCTTAGCTATTTTTTATACATATTTATTTATTGTATTTAAAGGAACGAGATATCTTGTGACTTGTACACAATGTATTAAACTACATAGGACATACATGTTTGTTCTAGTCTATGTCTATTAGATTTAATTTAAAAAATCTGTGAATTTTTCATTAAGTACGTGAATTACATTCTGTGGTTAAAGACCTTGGAAACTAAAAAATGATTGCAGTGTGCCTTTTCAAATTCATACTGTGTTTATTATTTTTCTCATATCATCAGAAATGACGGTGATATATGTGAGTCTTGCGTATAATGCGATATTTATCATCACAACTTATACATACTAAATAAGAATTTACGTTGGTTAATATGTCTGAGAAAATATAAAGTCTTTGACTTAAGTTTCACTGTTTTCGTAGATGGCAAATAATTTATGACATATTCAGTAATATAAATTGTGTTTGTTCCTCATTTCATAAGGTACTTCCGACTTTAGAATTTAATCTGTAAGGTGGAGAGTTACCGAGTCAGATTCTCTGAGGAAAATAAAACAATAACTACATTTGTCTGACAAGAGGAGGCTCCGATAGTTGTGTCACCGAATTGAACGAAATTTGGCAAGCACATAGTACTTGATTCCTACAATAAAATGTGCAAGCTACTCGACGCACTATTCAAGCGTTTTCAAGAAATCGGTGTTTAAAATTACGACGTGCACAATATGACGCTTTAGAGAAGCGTGTCTCATAGAAGTCGCCGTGGTGTACTGATGCGGTGATAGCCTACGAAACTCTAGATCCGTGGTTTGATTCTCGGCTGCTGCATTTTTTTTATTCTTTTGCCTTCTTTTTTATTTTAAATACATCTGTTACTGTTGAACAAAAAGAATTAATTTTTACTGTTCTTTTCATTTTTTTGTTAACTTTTACAATGAAATTGGTAATTCTTATACTTTTTGGTTTTTCTCTGTATACTGCACATTTATTGATAGTACTTGTGTATATAGTCGCTATGATTTCATATTTTATCTCATAACGTTGAAAGAAACAAGAAAGTAAAGTTTTACCGTGTGTACGAGACTGATTACAGGCCAAATATTGGAGCCATTGTCTATTGTGTGTCTGTTAACGGAATGTAGAAATTTCAGTCGATGCCAAAAAAGTCAGGACAAATTAAAGGTCACGTAAAGCGAGAACAGAAAATATTCGAATGCAAAGTTGAAATATGTGACCGATGCTGGTGATCCACAATCGAACTTTATCCTCCCGAAAATAATGCAAGATATAATTAAACAGTAGATAAGAGAAATATTATATAGAACTATTATATTTTATTCCATTGTATTGTATTGCAATATTTTTTCTTACTTCCTGTTCCTTTTACACTCTTTCAACGTTATGAGTTAACATATGAAATCATAGTGACCGTATAGAAAAGTGCTATCAATAAATGTGCAGTAGACAGAGAAAAGAACTAAAAAGTATAATTACCAATTTCATTGCAAAATTTAACAAAAAAAAATGAAAAGAACAGTAAACATTAATTCGTATTGTTTAATAGTAATAGATATATTAAAAAAAAAAAAATAAAGAAGAGAAAAAAAGTTAAAAGAAATTGCACCAGCCGAGAATCCAACCAGCAATCTACCAATTCGTAGACTGCTATCACCGCACCAACTATGACACTGCGGCTTTTAGTATATAAATATAGTTCTGCAAAGCGCCATATTCCGCAAGCCGTAAATCTGAACACCGATTTATTGAAAACGCTTGAATAGTGCGTCGAGTGACTAGCACATTTTATTGTAGACATCAAGTACTATATGTTTGTCCAATGTCGTTCGATTCGGTGGCACAACCATCTGAGCCTCCCCTTGTTATTATACAGGGTGTCCCACCTTACTTTGCCACCCTTAATTTTTCTCTTATTTGTCACGGTACAAAAAAATGGTTCGGGAAAAAGTTAGTGTATTTTAGGGGGGAAATTAGGCTATGAGATTAAAGGTTATCTCAAAGTCATATCTTCTGAAATTTCGCACGTAACTGGTTCAGGTGGAAGCTCGCAGAAAATGAATTGCAGAAAGAAAATAAACGCCATAATCGCATTATTTATTATTTTAATGTATGTTCAAAGTGTTGGCCCCAAACTCAATGCACTTATTCACACGTAAAACGAATGCGTGTTTAGCTCCTACAAACCAAATGCGAAATATTCGCAGCGGCAGCGAATATTTTGCGGCGATAGATTCGCAGCGATTTATGTACATGGCATCAAAAATTAGCAGACCAACGCGAAATATTCGCAGCGATAAATTCGCAACAGTTTAAAATACGTGGCGTCTTATGAGACTTTTCACACCAATGCGACAAATTTCCGCGAAGATTGCGAATTCAGAGCGTTTGTTCCTTGGCCGATTATTTTGCTCTACGAGGCATTTTTTTCGCTCCTCGGTTTTTTCGATCTCTCGGCTTGGTTCAAATTTCAACTTGATCGAATATTCTAATATTCCAACAACTCTATCGTGATCGGTGCTGCAAAATTAAAAGCAATCGTTGCCTTGGCATGGTTATTTGTATTTTTATATCGTCGCCCTATTGCCACAGGTCACAAGGCACATTTTAACAATGGCCAACTTAGAAAAAAGAATAAAAATGGTAAAAAATTATCCGGTTTTATATGACTTGTCCCACGAAGACTAGAAAAATATAAAGAAGAAAGACTAAATTTGGGCTGAAATTGGAAAAGAATTAAATGAAAATGGTAAGTATCTGATACTATAATTATGTTTTCACCATAGTACAAATGATAATACAGACAGTACTAGTTATGTAGTTATAAACAGATAATTACTTTATTTAATTGTGACAACGGTATTAATTACATAATAACTTCATACAAAACTATTTTAAGTATTGAAGTAAGTGGCAAATTTTTCTCTAGTTGCAAGTGCCAATCTTGCTGCTCTTCTTGGATTGTGTTCGATATTATGAAAAGCTCTAAGTTCAGGCTCTGGTGGTTCTAAATGTGGAAAAAAGTGATCATCACAGTTTTTACTTCGTAAACAATTGTGCAGTACACATGCCGTTTTTACAATCAGAATTGTAGTGGCTAGTTTTGTTTCTATTGGCTTATAAAATATTCGCCATTTTTGAGCCAATATGCCAAAAGCATTTTCTACCATTCTTCTTGTACGACAGAGTATTGCATTATATTTCTCTTCTTCAAGATGAAACCTGGATTGCGTATATGGGAAAGGCCTCATTAGGGACGGCTTTAAAACAAAGTCTTCATCCCCAACTAACACGTGAGGGCACAATTCATTTTGTCCGGGAAGATTTGTAAATCCAGGAAAATTCATTAAATTTCTTTCAAATCATTTTCCCATGTTAGAAACCTCGAAAATTGCCACCATTATTGTTCTTACCGTAATCACCGATATCAACACATATAAATTTATAATCTGGATCAACAATAGCCATAGCACTTGTACGATATTAAAACTCGCGACTGAATTGCCTGAATGAATCGAAACCGCGATGACCGTTGCGCTCACGGCAAATTAATGACGTGAGGGTTCTTTTAGATTGAGGTGTGAGGATGTTAAATAAATGTTTAGTCAGTTACTAAACTGATGTATTCACAAAACTAAACTGTATATTTACAAGTGTTGATGTATACTCTACGAGTGCTGGTGAGTGTCTGCCAGATCTTCCTCTCAAGCGAGAATGTTCTCCTCTAGAGGGTGTCTTGTCGAAAAGAATGAATGGTTTTAGTCGTCGTTGTTTTCCTTATTAGGGAATGTTGGACGAAGTAACTAAGGGGGTGGAGAGTAGGGATGACTGACAGTGAAAAGTAAGAAGGGTGATGGAAGGAAAGGTGAGTGAGAAGGTTAGAAGAAAAAGATGACCTGCGATTGAGGCGTACGGTGGTGGAAAGGAAGGTGCGAGTAAGAGGGTGTGAAGAAAGGGATGACTTGTGGGTGATGCGTACGGTGGTGACGAACGTTTATGACTGTTTCCCGGTGATTTTATGATGGTGAGAGTTTGAAGCAGAGTGGAATGGGGCGTTTTAATACGTGCGTAAATGCAATTAATTTTTCGTTAGCCGAAGCAATGATAGATTGGTGTACTAGTGTCCTAAAGGCCCGTACAGCACTAGTGAAAACTTATTTACATAACACCAATCATTGGATCTACACCTATCAATACAATTAGGGAATTGCCATAAATTCTTAAACCCTTCTGCACACTGTTTCCAAATTTCCATTGTAGGTTCGGGTAAATACATATTTCCTAATTTTGTGTTGAAAATCCAATTCGAAAACTATGTCCAATTGTGCAGAAAGTATCACCGGTGGTAAGAAATCTACAAAAAAAGTATTTTTATTTTAGGTGACCAGATTAAAAGAAAATGGAAAAATTTAAGAGACACATACGTACAATATATTAGGTGCAATAAAACAAAAACTGGACAGGCAGCGAATAAAAGTAAAAAATGGGTATGGTCCGATCAAATGAAAACTTTTAATCGTTATTTGACCTATGCTGACACTTCCTCTGACAGTGGTATTGATAGTGAAACAAATATAGAATCTATCGCGAATTTACAAATTCCAGATATTCTAACTGAACATTAAAGATGTACTAAATACTGAAACTGAAGAGACTTGCACACAATTTACGTATGATATTCAGTCATCGCATGTAACTACATTATCCGCAACAGATGTTATTCTCTAAAACCTCAACAAATCGAAAAACAAGTAGGAGACGAAATTCAGAACCATAATCTGTAGAAGAATTGATGATATATTTTAAAAGCAGAAGAAAGAGTGAATATGATGCAATTGATTATATTTTTTTGGGGTACGCAATGATTGAGGAAACAGTTTCTGGAACCAGACACGCAATAACCAAAATGAAAATTGCCGAAGTCATCATGAAACAAGAACTTTTGCATCAAAGGGAACTCACATCAACACGTCTATCTAACCCTGAAAGTATAATTAAACATCATGATAATGATCTTTTATATAGACCTGAAAGTACAAGTAGTTTTAGTAATTCTACCAATTCCAATTCTGTATGTAGATCTGATAGTGCACTAAGTTATCCTTATATTACCAATGTTCAATCAAGGGGAGCGGATGTACATGAATTTCCACTGGCTGATATTATTATATCGACAAATATTTCTAACTTTATTGCGTCATATAATCCATAAGATTTATTGTTTTCATAACGTGCAAATATTATTTTGAAATATCTAATTATGTATATTCTCGTATATTTCTCTCTGTATTTAATATTTATGAGTATTAATACACAATTATAATTACATACATTTTTTTTACCGTAATACAATGACAAGCTGTTCTTCAGGTGAGATAGCTTCACGATAATTTGTATCAGATTTTTTTATATCATTTTTTATGAGTTCCAAAATTTCATCAAAACACTCAATGATCATTCTAAAGTAACTATAAAAGCGTTGCTCATCTTTCCGAAGTTCTGGCATTAAAGTATGGAATTCTCCATATTTTTTTCGTTCTAGGTTAATATCATGTACCCAATGTTTTCTTTTTCTAAAATAAATGTAAATAAATTTGTTGAAAATCATTGGTACATACATACACAATTTAAAAACTATACTGCTCTTCTTAGCTGAATTGTCCTAACTAGTATGTACATGTTTTAGAACATCCGAGAGAACAAATAAATTAGATTGATTCTCCAGTTCTACAATGCGTGCATATGGAGCTTCAAGTATTTTAAAACAGATTGAAAAATGAAAAATTGGTAGATAGGACATATTAGCTAAAGCGGTCAGTACAAAACACTTTATGCTGTGTTAAGAAAACTGCAAACCTGACATTCTGTTCTTCTAACATAAGTACATTCCTTCTGAATTTTCGATACAGTCTTTGCGCAAATTTTTCGCATTAGTGTGAACAGTCTCATAAGACGCCATGCATTTTAAACTGTTGCGAATCTATCGCCGCGAAATATTCGCTACCGCTGCGAATATATCGCATTGGTTTGCGGGAGCCTTTTTATATCCGAAGATATGCTTTGCATAGGCATTGGAAATACGAATTCTCATGTCTGGTTTAATACTATCCGATGTACGAAATAATTTGATTACGTTACTAAAAGTACGACTTGATTTAACTGCTATCGACTGAAATTTAATCACTAAACTGAGAATCAAGAAGTTAAAAGTCTTAAAGAAAAATCTCTTCCTAAGGCGATTGTTTACTACTCATTTCTTATTTGTGAAACCAGACAAACATATTTCAGATACAATACAGAAAGCTGGACACGCATTCGTTTTACGTGTGAATAGGTGTATCCAGTTTGGGGGTCAACACTTTGAACATAAATTAAAATAATAAATAATGCGATTATGGCGTTTATTTTGTTTCTACAATTCATTTTCTGTGAGCTTCCGCCTCAACTACTTACACAATTTCATATGGTCCTTTGAATCAAGGAATCAACTTCTGCGAAGCGCCTGGTGTGCTGTCAAAATTTCTAATCGCGACATAATCTCCAACTTTGTACTTTTTAGGTTTTCTTGCATTTTTACCACCTCGTGGCTACCTTTCTCGCGTATTTTCTCTAAATTCCGAGTAATATTGTTCACTGTACATAAATATTCTTTTAAATTGTCATTTGTTTCTTCCTTTTGATGTACACTGAAAAGCAATTTATAAAGTGTTTCTCCACTGGAGCGATTCACGATGTTATTGATGGCATATTCTATTTCCAAAAGTACAGTGTACCAATCTTTCTTTTCACTATCATCTAGTTTAGCAATCATTGGTCCTATCACCCTATTCACCCTTTCCACCTGACCGTCACTGATACCAGAATCGTGGGATTTCCGCGCGAGCGCATACCCTCTCCATGCCTCCCGTGGGTATTCTACGCAAGCGTTTTCTACCTCTGTCCGTGTGCGCTCTGCTACGGGTGTTCTCTTTGGCAAAAGTCCTACGTCACGTGTTTATGACGCGACTGCCGAGTGGCCCAAGTAGGTCAAAAATCCCAAATCCCAAGCAATCTAAACGCTGAAAGTCGAGAACAGCATGAATTCTCTAACGCGCTCATGATGAAGACCCCGTCCGAAAACCCCGTTCGAATCCAGATGCGACGGTTTTACTTTTTATCTTTAATTATTGTGTAATTTTAGTTTTTAATTTGAAAGTAAAATGAAAGGTTTGAAAATATTAATTTAAGAAGCATTTTACAAAAATGGGAGATGTATTTATTCCTCTTTACTATTTAAATTTTATATTACACAAATACATATTTTCTTATATAGGGTGTTCGACAACTACTGGGAAAAAATTTAAGGGGTCATTCTTTCAGGCAAAATAAGACGAAAATCAAGAATAACGAAATTGCGAAAAATGCTTCGTTTGTTAGTTATAAGCGTTTAAAAATTGACACAAATCATGGCAATCCGCGCGCACCGAGTGTCAGCGGATCACGGCTCATCAGGGGCGTACAGTCACCTTAAAGACTCAACGCGTGCAGGAAAAGTCGGTAGAACAGCTGTTTACTTACCCCGTAGAAGATG